GGGTGTTTCCTGGCCCGAAAAACTAGTACCTGCTAAGGATCCCTTGTCCAGGGTCATGGATGAAGACCACAACGGCATCCAGGGCGGAGAAGAAGGTCTTTACAACGGTCTGAAGGGCGGAGGTGGCAACCCCATGGTTTTAGGTCTTGTATAAAATCGAACCTGGAAATCGGCAGCTCCTTTTTCAGTATTTGAATTGAGCGGAAGTCGTGTAGGCTAGAACGGTTAATACATAAGAGTACCCGCTGTGGTGGTATCCACTTAAACAGCGTGTAGACAGCGGTGTAGAAAGCCAAGGGAATGACTGCTACACTATTTTTCCCATGCCCATACACTATATTTCCTATGGTTGAGAAAATAAACGATTGCCCCGAGTACGGGCGCCTCTTAAATGACGTAGGGGTGCAAAGAATCTACCGCTTGGCGAAATTTGCTGTAGAATAGGAACATGGAATGTGCGGAGTTTATATGAACCCGGAAAAACAGACAATGCCATAAATGAGATCAGAAGGCTGCAAATATAAATTCTGGGTATTAGTGACATGCGATGGCCCGAATCTGGCCAATGCCATGAGGATGATCATGAAGTATATTATGTAGGAGAAGATTAACTATCATCGTACGGTGAAGTATCTCCACATTCACCTGATTTCAATGCTAAAGATTATTTTTATTGGTGATAATTGAAAAGTTCAGTTTAGAAAACTAAACCAGCAAGTTCTGCAGAACTAAGGCAACGAAAAACCGATGAATCAAATAAATTCTAGATAATCATGGAAAAATGTGGAAGTCTACCATCGATTAGGGTACTGTCAACTCACAAATGGAGTACATTTTGAACACTTGATAAAGTGTAACCATTGTGTTAAAAAATCTTGTAACCTATCAATTGTTACATTTTAATGTAGTTAAAAATAGTTAGTATTAAAAAATTTATTGAGACAATTAGGCGTTGCCAGACTTCTGTTTTATGTATTTAAGACCTTTCAGACTATATAAAATCATAAGTGTTACATATGGTTGAACTCGCATTGAAAAGGAGATTCCAATAATGAGTGAATATACAGGGCGGTGAATTTGAAAAACCAAAGTTACTAATAATATAAGAGAAACGACAAATATGGCAACATTGCAAATATCAAATATGGAATCTCTGTATCCCAAAATAGGTGTACCTCAAATTTTGTATAATTATGTCTAATAATTTACGAGACAATAGGCCGTTTCCAGACTTTTGGACCACTCTGTATTTTTAATTAAAATCGAGCTAATTTGCCTGGTCTAAAATAAAACGGTTCAAAAAAAACCGTTTGTTATTACTTAATAATAATATTTTTGTTGATAGAATTATATGAGTAAGTAATTGAATAATACTTTAATGAAAGTTAAGCAATACATTTTTATAATTTAGAAAGCAAATGTGCATTACTCCATCACGAAAATCTAATATTTTCCATGCAGAGGCAGGTTCAATCTTACGAGGCTTGTATATAGAGCAATTAATCTTACGTCATACGGTACCTAATAACTTTTCATTTTATCCTCCCGGCTAAAACTGAAGCAACCAATTTCATGTGTTATCATTTTAAATCGCATTACATTGAGCTGCTTTCTCGTTTATCATGGGAGCAGAGCGTCGTTTTCCTTTTTCTTCCGCCATGTTCTCTCCTTATGGATGTTTAGCGGCTTTTAAAAACAAAATAAATCGGAATTTAATCCTTCTTTAATATCGGGGATATTGGAAAACAATTCGGTATTGGGTCGGAAAAGAAAATAAAGACGTGGTGATAGATGACATCAAAAACTCGTTTAACAAAGAGCGTCCCGGTTTAGGAGCGGAAAAAAGGTAAAAATTATTGGATGCTTTTCGCGATTGGCTGGCCTTTTTGGCACATCTATTGATGAAGTTATATATGTCTTAATTTATTATTTTGCTAAATAAAATCTATAAAAAACAATAATATAAATTAATAGTTATTTATTGTACAAGACGATAAAATTGTACTTTATCTTCGAGAGCGTTTTGTAGCGTCGAGCCGTCAGTCGAGACGCTAATTATGCTCGAGAAGATAATGCGCTTTTATCGTCGTGTGCAATAAAACATTTTTTTTTTTATAAGGTAAGTTGACCAAATAAGGCCCACTTAATGCTTGTTAGTTGTTTTTTGATAAATAAAATCACGATATAAATCTGAAAACCACAGAGAAAATAAATCACATATTTAAATTTAATGTGAGATTGTTAAATTTTGTTAAAAGTTTTATGAGTTGTTACTTTTTAGTCTTTAAAAAATAGTTGCCTCTGGGCCTAATTAGGAACACCATGGTCTTAATAAGGCCCACTTTTTAAATGTGACCATTATGCCTAATTGCATCAACAGATCTTCAGCTTCAGTTTAGCCCAGTTCAGCTTATGTCGCATTGACGTTCCACGTATGTCTTAAGCTTAAGGTCTATTGGTGCAACTATACATTAATCAAATTAAACAAAGGTGACATGTAGGATATTTATTTTGTAAAAAATAATAGGTACTTAAAATAATTATTGCAAACAGTCTGGACATATGAAAACTAAGTCTTTATCATCTGCTGAAAGTCCTACACACTCTTCATGGATATATCTTTTGCAGCTGTCACAAAGTGTCATATCCTTAACGACATCCTCATTGCAGATGAAACAATACCAACTATATTTTCGTTCTTCTTTGTTTTTTGAGGTTTCAAGTGAGCTGTGTTTATTTTTCTCTTCTGCTTTTTTTAGTTGTTTTTTGACTATTTTTCCGTTTGCCAAGTTTTTTCCTTTCCTTGATTGGTTTTTAGGGTCATTTAAACCAGCTTCATCAAACAATGGTTTTGTGACTTCCTGTGCTCGATAGTTCAGGGATTTCTTTCTAGCACCTTTGCGTTTTCCAGTTTCCAATTCTGGTGTTATTAACACTGCGTTAAAACTTACTGACATTTCGTTTTCTTCTACTGAGCTGTCATGTATTGAAAATTCATTGTCAGAACCGTCAGAACTCTCAGAGCTATCTTGCGTATTTTTCTCCTTTAGAGCTTTTACTTTCTTTTTTCTGTCTGGAGTGGAGCTGCCAATGGGATTATTCGTTGCGGAAGTCGAAGCTGATGGAATAGCAGAATCTTCCGAGTCTAATTTATTTTCTGTTATTTCTGATGGGCAAAAAGCTATGTCAGGAATGACACTCGGATCATACGGGTATATTCCCGTAGCACGAAAACCTAAAATAACATTTGATGCTGTAGTTGCTTTTGGCCATACTTTTGAGAAAATTGTGCCAAACGAAAATCTATTGATCGTTCGATCTGGTTTATTTGTCCAGTAGGTGATAACTTCGTCGTCCCAGTAAGATTCGAAGGCTTTAAATACCGCCTTGTCCATAGGTTGCAGTTCATGTGTGCAATTACTTGGCAGGCAAAAAAGCGTAATTCCATGCGACTCGGCTTCATCAATAATACCTGCATCCAGATGGGACGATGCTCCGTCAAAAATAAGCAGTATTCTTCCTATTGGCTTGTACTTAGCAAAATGTTGTACCCACTTAATGAAAACTGGCGTAGTCATACTTCATTTCTCGGTCATTTCAATAACTGTTCCAGCAGGAAGATTGTCATACCATTCATTCTTCTTTCTTTATCCTTTGAACAAGATCATAGGTGGAATTATTTGTCCTACAGCATTTCCACAACCGACGATTGACACATTCTCAGCGTGCTCTTGCGAAATCAAATGAACTCGTTTGACACCTTTACGAGCATATGCCTGTTGTGATTTATGAAGGTTTAGGCGGCAACCTTTCTCGTCAATATTAAAAATGCGTTGAAAGCTTTGCAGGTTATCAAGCTTCAACATAACTTCGCGTATCTTTTCAAAATAGTCATTGACTATGAATCTGTTTAATTTGGTGGCTCTAGCTGGATTCATGAATTGAGATTTTCTTTTAACTACTTCGGGATATCGATTTAAAAAAAGGTTGAGCCATTTTCGACCAGCTAAGTGTTTATCGATAAAAGGTGCAGATATGCCATTTCTTTGGCAATATTCATGGACAGAACGTCTTATCACTGTTGATGTCAGAGGCATTCCAACGTCAGCTAGCCTAAAATTCTTCCACACAACTCAGATTCTTGTTGGGGGGTTAAACATAAAGGGCGCTCAAGTTTCTTTTCCGCATTTCCACTAAGCAAATGGCATCTTAAGCTTTTTAGTATTCTTTCTGAAACAAAGTTAAAAACTTATAAAACGTGTTATTGTAGTGGTCTTAACAAGGCCCACCCGTAGTCTTAATAAGGCCCACCCGGGCCTTATTAGCAATACTGTAGGTAATCAATGTTTTTAGAAATTACCATTATTTACGTTTTAATAAACATAAGGTAATTCAGGTACTATGAAAGTACAACTAATAAGTACACAAATGTCACGCAAAATAAAAAAAATCGCACTCATAATCGTATTAAATTACAAAAGCATACTAACCTAAATATTAGATTGGATGTTTACCCATTGACCACTGTTTGTAAACGAATGATCATATAAAAGCGACAGTTCGCGTCGCTGCTCAACTTTGCAGTGTAACAATTTGCACCTAGATGGCTCTACTGCATCTGTACATTGCAGCATACTGCCATTATTTGTCCATCCTGAGGAATATGGGCGAGTGGGCTTTATTAGGAACCGGGCTTTATTTGGCGAACCTACCTTATAGCAGGACTTCAAGTTCAGGTAAAACTTAATGTGTTAATTTGTGATTTTGTACATTTTATTAAATAAAAAAAAGTTAAAACATTTTATCTACTCTTGCTGTTAAAGTGTCACTTTATCTACCCTTGCGGTTAAAGTGATACTTTATCTACTTAAAACAGTTGTTATAGCAAAACTTTAACATTAGCTATGGAAAAAATTTCTTTTACTTTCACACTAATGTGAGTAAGGTTGTCACTTGGTCTTTTGACTAATCAACCAATATATGATATTATTTTGTTGCAGGTGCTTCTTGGCGGTGGTCGACGACATTGGCTGCCTAAAGTTGCCCACGATCCAGAAATGACGAAAGAAGAAGGTAGACGACTTGATGGAAGAAATCTTATTGACGATTGGGTGCGCGATAAAAAGAAAAGAAGTTTGAAGGCGCAATATGTATGGAACAAAGGACAACTCGATCAGATAGATCCTAATCAAGTTGATTATCTCTTGGGTGAGTATAAATGTTGTGAACAAGAAAAATCATTTAATGTTTGGTAAAAGACGGTAAACATTTGTAAAGCGTCTGATGTTTTGATAAAATCTATCAAAAAATTGGCTATTCATTAGATGTGGGGTAGAGTGCTTTAAGAATGCGCACTTAAGGTTTAAACAAGTTTTTAAACCAATTGCATCAAAAGTATATTTATTTTTAATTTAATCCTGTTGATACATAAACAACAAAATTAATTACAATATGCGAACTAAACATTATTACTTTAATAGAAAAAGTAAAACAAAAAAAAGTGCTTTTGCGCACTCTTATATTGCACGTAATTTTATGAACATAGGTCAAATTTATAAGATCCAAAACTTGCATAAGTAGGTACTGAACTTTTCATGCCATCATTCAGCACATAATATGCACTTAATCCAGTCTTCTGTGATATGGTCTTTAAATGTTTCGTTCCACCCTGGACAGATCCAAATTTTCTTATGAGGCGTTGTTTTTGCGCTTGAGGTGATGCTAGGTTATCGCCAAAATCCAGTTTGAGTTTGTATTGCGGCTTTTTTTTCTCGTTTTTAATTAGTTGGTCCATATATGGAGAGATGGTGATAATTTCCGACTTTTTCCTTCTGCAATGTCTGGATCTAACCACAATTGATTTAGGTAATGGAGAAATGGTTGTTAATTTAATATAACTTGATGATGTTCGAAGAGTGTTTGATAAATCAAATGTTTTTGTTTTTGGATCTATATCAAGTTTTTCTTCCATAGTAATTTCAGATGTGTTGGAAACCAGATCTATAAGCTGAGGGGTATTTATTTTGACCTGTAAAATCAGTCTCATACAATCGGGTTCAGATGTAGGTATTTTGCTGATTATGGTATCTCTTTCCTTTCATTAACATGAATATCTTCCTTAGTAGTGGAATTCTTAAGAACAATAGTTAGACTATCCAGAACATTAGGAGTATTTTTAGAGGCTGATTCAGACATTTGATGTGATTGAATGTCGATTTTAGACTTAGAGTTTTTAGCGACTCCTAATTGTATGTTAAACGCTTCTAGTTCCATAGTTACTGCAGCTATAGCAGGTTCTTCTCATTGTGTGACAAAAGTGGCCATGAAGTCAGCGTCAGTAAATATGTCAATATTAAAAGGGCCTATTCCCGTCTCTTTAAAACCTTTAATTCGTTATTGTAGCAGCTTTAAAGTATGCAGGAGCAAATATTGAAGCAATTTGGTTAACTGTAACTTCCTGCCCTGGATGGTTCGTCAGCCATTTTTCATATTCGTTGGAATAAAACTTTTTTAGTGGGCTTAAAAAACATTTATCAAGTGGCTGCATACGGTGACTACTATGAGGAGAAAGTGTTAATGCGATAATGTTATATTGAAGTGGAAATTGAAACGTCAATAAACGTATTTTTATCTTTAATTGTGGCTTATTCCCAGTTTAATAGTAATTAATTTACAATGCCACAAGAAAATAGCTTCAGAACAATATTAATGTTATATTGTCGAAAAAAATCATTTGCTAAAATGGAACAATGGGAAGTGTGATTATCCATTATCAATAGCTCTGGTTGTTCCTTTCTCAGCTTAGCTTGATCTCTAAAATTTGTAGCATAATCAACAAACAGGTCCTGATTGATGAAACTACTGTCGGATATCATTCCAACTGATGCTCGATCCAAAAGTTCTCTCTTCATTATTTTACGTAGATATATAAATACGAGAGGAATATATTGTCCACTAGCAGTCAGTGTGCATACAACAGCACCTTCTTGTAATTGGGTTCTAATGCAATAAAAAGCCTTGTTTCTTCAACAAACAGGAGTAAAGCCACACCTTGCCATTCGAACTTTTTACCATTCAAGTCAATTTTGAAATCTTCTGGGTAAAAATTGATGATCGGGGAATCCGGATTCGACATCAACTCAGCCCATGGTTCAGGTACATGCTTGCAACTGGCAGCTGGAAAAACACCCATTAGTTGTTTTAGTGGACTAAACGGTTTTGGTCAGTTTATAATTCAGTACTTAATACTGCTAATTAAAATAGTAACATTTGTTTCTCGTTCTGCGGTAAATATTTTATTGACACACTTTTTTCCTTTTGTGGAGAAAACTTTAGTAGCCCTGTTTAGGACAGTGGAAAATCCCGATTTATGGATTTATCCACCTTCAAGACCGATCTTTTAAGCTTTTTAAAGCTTAAGAGTTTTTAAGTTTCACGTGTAAAATGACCTCACTTTTCAACAATCAACTGATAATTAATTACTATTAAACTGGGAATAAGCCACAATTAAAGATAAAAATACGTTTATTGACGTTTCAATTTCCACTTCGGAAATCGTTCTCAAAATACAAACAGTTAAAATTAAAATCAATTTACTATTTGTATTTTGAGAACGATTTCCGAAGTGGAAATTGAAACGTCAATAAACGTATTTTTATCTTTAATTGTGGCTTATTCCCAGTTTAGTAGTAATTAATTTTCAATGCCACAAGAAAATAGCTTCAGAACAATATTAAGAAACTGATAACTATTCGCGTTTGGCCAATAAGTAAAACATGTAAATTTTACCAGTTAGAGATTTTACTGAGAGAGACGGACTAAGTGTTATAATCCTCTAGCGCATTTGCAACTTAATAAAAATAGTTAGTAAGTGTTCATTTTGTGGACCATTGCCTTTGCCTTGAAAATAAAAGACTGATATATCACACACCGAGTATTGTCTAATTCTACCAAGACTGTACTGATGGCCCAGAAATTATGAAATGCGAAGTGGAACATGTTATAAATAATGCTATAATTAAAAAAGCTTGCGGTCCAGATGATACACCAACTGAGTTGCTGAAACTAATAGAGAATTATAACATAAAAGTAGTAATAAGACTTTTTAATTCAATATATAACTCCGGAGTGATTCCCGCAGATTGGCTTAAATCCATCTTTATAGCAATGCGAGAAAATGCTCAGAATATCGATTAAATCTTAACACACTCTTAAAATCTTCCTCAAAATACTTCACAACAGAATTAGACGCAAATGCGAAGAAGATCTTGAAGATACCCAATTTGGTTTTAGAAATGCTATGGGAACCACGGAGGCACTTTTTGTGTTTAACCTCCTATTAAAAAAATACCGTGACCAAAGAAAATATGTATTTGCATATTTCGTAGACTTCGAAAAGGCATTCGATAAAGTACAGCATGTAAAATTAATGCAAATACTGAAAAATATCGGAATAGATGACAAGGATATTCGTGACACCGAGATAACTACACCGATGAAATCCCCATACAACGAGGAGTCAAACAAGGTTGCATTTTGTCGCCAACTATGTTTAATGTTTATTCGGAGCAGTTATTTAAAAAAGCACTTGAGAGACAACCATATGGAATAAAAATCAACGGGGAACTATTTAATGTGATTAGATATGCAAACGATACAGTAATTCTCAGTAAAATTTGAGTAATTATGGAAACATTTCAAAATTTGTTTTTGTAGGGCTGTGATTATAATAATATTAAGAGAATATTTGCACTGCAAAAACCACACATATTTGAAAACAAATAGTTAATGATATTTCTTACGGTATTTCTGTGTTTCTTGCTTGATATGTATATAATTTGAAAATATCAGTAAATGTATGTTTACGCCCGATTGAAGCCAACTGAACAAAGCTTCACATAAAGGCATATATTTGTAAACTTCGATCGAACATACACACCAAAGTTACTTATTCCTTCATAATCCATCGAATTACTGAAATATACCTTCGCTTTATACCCTTTGTATGTAAATGGCCCGGAAATGGAATCCTGCAAAATTATGGCCTAAGATCAAAATTCCTGCGATTTCCTGGAATTTTCAGCCAGAGTGAAAGCCTCCTAAGACAATACCATTACCGCATCTTTGAGAGGCACTACTTCGAAAAGTTTACTAGCTGTTTCTGTTTGTTTTGCTCCAAATATCCAACTAATTTCTCCTACTAAGTAATCGTCAACGGGATTATTGGAACTTCCAGACCCTTTAGGTCGAGTGGTTTATGTTAGAAAGGCCGTCAAAATATTTATCGAAAGGCAATTAATTAGAGATCATGTTGTGGTTAACTGTTGTGCTTATGTTATTTGCATGTACTATACAAATATTGGTTTTACCTCAGTTTTATTAAAATTAATAAATCCAAGATATTCTCAAGGGAAGAAGTTAAATAGAGTAATTAATTAATAATATGAATTAATTTACTGTTAAATCGACAATTCCAATGATCCAGAGAATTTACTTATATTAGTTCTCGTACAGTCCGAAGCTGGTAAGTAAATTGCAATATTTTATTCTGAGCTTGAAAAATCGGTCTTGAATGGGGACAAATCCATAAACAATGGACTTTTTCTTCTTTAGTTGACATCTCCGGGATAAAGGTTAACAATCATCATGGCTATTCTGACTTTCGAGGCAGCCGCTCTGAACAAATGCCTTGAACTGCAACCAAACCACTCTTTCAGGTTGTTCTTCAACCACGAAACGCATCTGCTTCCTACGCTTTTCCTACCTCAAGAGGTTGTATCTTTGGTCTCTCATTACATGTCTCAGATATTGCAATTTCCTTTCCTTTATTGTATTTTCCATTTCCCTCTCTCTGACTATTCTCCTTAACACTTCTGTATTCGTGACTTTATCTACCCATGGAATCCTCCATTTCATACGCGTTAAGTCGATTTATTGTTTTCCGGTTTAATGTCCATGATTCAGCTCCATAGTAGAGTACACTGTGTCATCATCATTATTATCATCAATTAGCCTATCTTTGTCCACTGCTGAACGTAGGCCTAACGTAAAATTTTCCACCTATTTCTGTCTTGAGCTTCTTGCATCCAGTTTGTGGTGATGCGCTTGATATCATCCGTCCATCTAGTCGGTGGTCGTCCTCTGCTTCGACATGCATCTTGCCTTGGTCGCCATTCCAGATATTAATATTGATCTTTCCATAGCGCGTT